ATCGAACATCTGTTGTCCTTATCTCCCCTTCTTCTTTCCTATCGAACATCTGTTGTCCTTATCTCCCCTTCTTCTTTCCTATCGAACATCTGTTGTCCTTATCTCCCCTTCTTCTTTCCTATCGAACGTCTGTTGTCCTTATCTCCCCTTCTTCTTTTTTACGTAACATCTCTAATTTTCTGGCGCTCATATGACCTTATGCAGTTGCGAGCGCCGTAAAACCTCTACTAAAACTAAAAACTAAAAGTTGCAGCCCATTTAAAAGCGTCAAACACAAAAACAGGAACCGGAATTTACATGAATCTTTGTATACTTGTTGCTGCCGGCCTTTTACAGCTGCAGAATCTAGAAGAAAAACAAACATTTTTATAAATAATGACGTTTGAAAGATTAAACCTTGTAATTTTTTAAATGTCAGCCAAAGTTTATTATTAAAAAGCCCCACTCCGGAGTCTGTGGTATATTGGTTATACGGGGTGCCCACTACGGCTGGATCGGGCCGATCGTCCGACTCGATCGCCTGAAACTGAAAACAAACACGTTTGTAATTGAGGCGATCGAGTCGTGGCGATCGGCCCGATCCAGCCGTAGTGGGCACCCCGTATTAGGCGTTTCGCTGTAGGACACAGGCGACCCGAGTTCGATTCCCAAGTGGAATCAGACGTCCTTGTACCCGGGGAGGTCCCTCATTGGTCCACTCAGGAGGGAAAACTCATTGGTCCACTAAGGTTGGGGGGGGGGGAGAACTCGTTATCTACCTCCGGGTCAGAGCCAGAGAGTTCTATGTGCAACATTCTCCTAATCATATTTCGTAATTACATTCCTTTCACTCATTAATTCCCTTGTTTTCTGAATACGTACACGCGATATTTGGTCCCTTTTTTCAAAGCAGCATACTAAATATAACACAGTAGCTTACTCTTATGGTAGGAGGCTTTTCCCTTTCTGAGAAAAGGGCCTTTCTATAGATCTGTCCTCTTTTCCATAGCGTGAGAACAGCTCAGCTTGTACAAACATCAAACAGGTATGTGCCGGCGGGCAAGCAGCGCCACGGGTAATTACACGACATGGAATGAGCCTCTGCTTCCGATATACATTGTATATCCGTCTCTGATCTGCGCAGTCTTTTGTTTTTCTACGCCAAGTGCCACACTCACAAAATGGCCGCCACTTCTGACGTGATCGTAACCGGGGGACAGCGCCTAGTATCTCTATCTATATGTGACTAGTATTTTACGATAGACCTGTACTTCTTAGGTACACTTTAACTTGGTGTTATGGCTTAAAGTAAAGTTGTTCCCGCGTCCGATCCGGACATCGGGGATTGTCTTGTTAATGAGACAACCTCCTGGGCCTTCGGCATATTGTGGTAGGGTGGCCAGTTCCTTTCCACGCCGCCTTTACTTCCCCAACTCGAAGTCAGGTACTCATTACTGCTGGGTGGGCAGGAGGGGGCGCGAGCGACTAACCGCTCCGCCACCGCACCCTCAAAACAAAACAATTATGGCTTACAGTACCAAACATCTACACAAGCTGATAAGTTACATAATTTAGTCTCGATTTTCAATCACCAGAGCTCAGTCAAATCTCCCTGAAGGTTATCTGACAGAAGCCACTTGACCCAACACGCATACATCCAGGGGTCACTATAAGTCTCCGGACATTATGGCTCGTTGTTAGTTAGCTAGTCAGCAGGGTAATTTCTCGCGACACGTAGCACAATGATTGTTCTTCGAATTACACCACGCAAAGCTTAATTGCTTGGTCATATTCCATTGAGTCAATTCCTTGTGTTCCAGTTACATTCCCCAACAGGGATCAATAAAATGTAATTTATAGATTATATAACCAGTCCCGAGTCTGAAACACGGAAGGAAAAATATTTAGTCTACTTTAATCTGCAACCTGCCAAAAAAAAAGATAATAATAATAATGATAAAACACGCGTCTTAAAGATGGATATCGTATTCATGATCAATACTATAACATTATCAAGACGAGGTATTCACTGGCTTGGTGTTTCATCACGTACATACATGCACACACACACA